TTCAGCAATTAGAGAAAAATAATGAGGAGCAAGATAATTTGATAAAGACTCGTGAAAACTCTCTGACCGATCTTGGCAAGAAAAATAATCAATTAGAGCAAGAAAAAAGAGACGTCGTTCAGCAATTAACCTCTAAAACCAGTGAATACCAAGAATTATCCGCCCAACGGGAAAGATTAGTCCTGGATATTCAACGCTACGAGCAAGACCAAGTCACCACCCGTAATCACTGCGGACAATTAGAAAAGGAAAAAAAACAATTAACCACTGAAAAAGAAGAATTAAAAACTAAACTTAACCAAAAAGAGCAGGAATTAAAAGAGACTAAAACTGCTAATACTGAAAAAATTAGAGAACTAGGAGAGCAAATTAAACAATTGCGGGAAAAGGCTCAAAACAAAGATGTAGAATTAGCCACTAAAACCCAAGAAATTATCAAATTAGATGGGGAAACTAATAAAAAAGATAAAAGTATTGCTGCCCAGAAAGACCGGATTATCCAATTAGACCAACAATTAAAAACAACCCGCACTGAATTAGGCGAACAGATTAAAACCAATCAACAATTAGTCGGAACTATTGAGACTAATCAGCAAGCAATTGAAGAACTAAATCAGCAATTAACTGCTCAAAGGGAAGAAAATCAAAATGTTCGCAACACGTTAACAAATAAATTGTCCCAAGATGCCACTATTTTAGCCCAGCAGTTGGAACAGGGCAAAATTATTGAAGAATTAACTAATAAATTACAATTGGAGGAGGAAAATAGAAAGAATTTGGAGCAGGAATTAACTAAAACTATTGATGTCTATAATGAAGAAAAACGACAAAAAGACCAGCGACAAGAAGCAACTATCCAAGAAATAGAACAGATTAAACCAGAATGAGAGCAAAAATTAGAAAACATTAAAACTGAATTGCAAGAAAAAGTCAGTTCAATTACGGCCGACGATTATATCCAATCCCGCGAATTATTGGTGAATATTTTTACGGATTTTTCCTTTTTAAATAGGGATAATATTTTAACTTGAATTAGAACCCAACAGGATAATTTAACCTATTTACAGCAAGTCCAAGACAAATTGGGAGTTTCTTCGGTAAACGAGCGGTTAGAAGAATTATTAAGCCAGGAAACCAAATTAAAAGAATGGGAAAAAGATTGCGGGGAATTAACTCCATCAACATTAATTACCCAATTAGCCGACAATAAAACTTTCTACGAAGAAGAATTAAAAAACCGAGAACAAACTATTGCCAATTTAACTACTAAAAAGCAGGAATTAAGCGATAAAATATCAGATTTACAAACCAGTTTAAGAGTTCAAAAAGAAAAAGTGGAGCAGTTGGAGCAGGCAAAGAAAAAAATCACGGCTGAGATAGGAACGCAGACGGACACTGCCCCAATTACTTCTTGGTGAAAATATGGTCTTTGGATTGGAATTATCATTGTGATATTAGGAGTCGGTTGATGAGTATGAAAAAAGATCAGAAATTTCTTTTAGAATGGTATTAGAAGCGTTATTTTTGTTTTTAATGGTGATTTTGCTAATTGTAGGGATTATCTTTTTTGTTAACTATCAGTCCCCAAAAAATCATAAAGAAACCGAAGAAACTATTAATTGAGAAGAGAAGCAAGAGTGATTTTCCGTGGGGAAATGACTAACTGATAAAGAGATAGATTGGGCAGTAGAGAGGATGAGTAAAGAACAACAAATGCCGGGTTCTTTTCCAGGACAAGAAACTCCCAGTAGATTTAAAATCCTCCCCGCCCATCAATTTCATTTAGTCCGTGAAGCCCAAAAATGAAGTAAGGAAGAAGGATTATTTACTTATTTGCTAAGTGAATTGACCGATGCAACTGCAGAATTAGTTTTTATTCCGGTTAATCAGCCTAACTTCCATTGGTCGCTTCTGGTTTATGAAACCAAGACTAAAACTTTTTATCATTATGACACTTTAGGAGGGGCTAATTGAAATTATGTAAAAGATTTAGTGTATGAATTACTGAAAGAGTTAGAAGTTCCTAATCATCTTACTGGTCAGCACTTTTTAGCCCGGCATAAGATTAGGCAGAATAATGGTTCTGATTGTGGGGTAGCCGTAATCGCTATAATTGAGAGAATTAGAGATAAATATAATGGAGAAATGGGGAGTATTGAATTAGGGAAATTTGATTTTAAGCAAGAAAGAAAAAAAATAAGAAGACAATATTTAAAAGAAAATGAATAGCCATTTACTTTTTTTTTTGCGAAAATCATTTATTATGGTAAAGGCCCAAGAATATTTCAACAATAAATACAAAAAGAATGTCACTTATCTGAAAGTAGAGGAACCAATCTCCGATAAATTAACCGGCAGTTTAGATTTATCCGAATTTACCAGCCTTAAATGAATCAGTATTACTAAACAAGAATTAACCGGTTTAACTTTGAATAGTCCAGATTTAGAAGTTATTAATTTAGCCGAGAATAAGATTAAAAGTTTAAGTTGATTATCAATTTTACCTAACAAAAATAGTCTAACCAAACTACATTTATTCAATAATGAGATTACGGATGTTGATTTTAATTTACTTACTAGTTTTCCCAATTTAGCTTCTGTAAATTTAGGGGCTAATCCTTTGAGTTATCTGCATGTGGATAATTTAACTAGTGAACAATCTGAATTATTAAAAAATTGAATTAATGATAAGAAAATTAATATTACTTCCTTAAAAAATAATTTGTCGCTTAATCTTTTAGGACAATTAGTAGAATTAAAAGAAGAGAATGAGGAGTTGAGAGGAAGAAAGGAACAATCTCAAAATGAAAAACTAAAAGCCCAAATAACAAGACTTGAAGAAGAGAACACCAATTTAAGAAAAGCCCAAGCAGAGGCAATGAAACAAATAAGAATTGGATTAGAAAAATTAGAGGTTAATATAGAGGTTGCTCCAAAATAAGGTCGAAGTGAACTACCCGCCACTTATAGAAGCGGGGGCTTCTCAGTTCTCAGCCAAGACTATCATCTAGGCTCCCTGATGGGTCGAACCGACCCTTTCTCTTACGAGCGTTCTTTCGAACTTTGTCTGCTTTATTTAAGAATAGAATAATCAAAGATTATTTTATTTCAGCAGTTATTTCATCCTGTTCCCACCCCATTCCCTTATATAAGTATTTTTAGCAATTAAGAAGAGAATTGGTGAACCAATTATCTTTTATCCCCTAGTTAAGAACAAGGAGACTACTTGCTAATTTAGGTTAAAGAGCTGTCTGTTTCTTTTATCTTCTTTTCCTCAGGGCTTAATTGGTTTGGTTCTAAGATTAATCCTTCTATTTGTTTGAGTTTATTTAATAATTGTTGGTTAATAGTCATAATTATTATAATTATTGGGATTTTCCTTTTATCTTTTAGTTATTTTTAGGAGGAATTTGGATTTGGGCTTGGAGTTCCTCTAATTGAGTTTGTAGTTGTCTCGCTTTATTTTCCCACTTTTTAACTTTTTGTTGAGCTTTCTCTAACCGTTTTTGTAATTCTTCTTCTTTATTTCCTATTGGAGGAGTTGGTTCTCTTGGAATAGTTAAGCCTAAAATTCCACTATCACCTTGTTGTATTAACTCTGAAATTTCTTTGGTATTTATCAGTTTACTATGCTGTACTGCCTCCTTGTGTAATTCATGCTTGGAAAATCTTATCTCTTCGGGTAAGGTTTTGTTATATTCTTCGACTTCTTTAAGTTGTTGAGTGAACTCTGTATCCTTATTTTCACTTACTTCTTCACTCCATTCATTTAAAATATCATTTAGTTCCTCGGCTGTTGGTCTTTGGTCAGGATTAGCATCTCAACACTTCTTAATTAAGTCTTCTAATAATTTAGGTATTTTAATTAAGAATTGAGGCCTTTTGCCTTGACATATTTTTACGGCTAAACCCGTGCTATAAGGTTTGTCAGAAAAAGGAGGTTGTCCTGATAATATTCCATAAGCCACCATTCCAAAGGAATAAATATCTGATGCTTTGGTGTAAGGCTGACCTTGTAATACTTCGGGGGCTACATAAGGCAGAACTCCAAATATTTTTCCTTCCTCGCCTTTGGAATTAACTGGTTTACATAATCCTAAATCAGTGATATAACAGGAAAGGTCGGCAAAATAAACTTCTGAGCCACTACTCAAAATATTGCCTAAATGGAAGTCTTTGTGAACCAAGCCTTTGTCGTGAATATCTTCCAATCCCTCAGCAATAGATTGTAATTGAATAAGCTTCTTTTTCAAATCTAACTTTTTATTATTCTTTTGTAAATAATCTCTTAAATTACCACCCCGAACATAGTCCATGACCATGACATAATTCTTAGTTTCAGGGTCTTGGGAAATACCATGACATTTGATAATTTTAGTTTCATCATATACCGTAATTCCATCAAACAGTTTATGACTAGCAATTTCGTGTAAGAATTCAGGGGTGATATTTGAGGAATTATTTAAGTTTTTGAGAACCACTAGTTTATCCTTTCATTCTGCTTGGTGGATTTTACCAAAGCCCCCTTCGGCTAAATAAGTAATATAAGAAAATTGTTCGTAAGGTATTTTTTCTACCTGGGCTTCTTGAATAAATTGGTTAATTTTTTCTTCGCTTTGCTTAGAAGCAAGGAAGTTGTCATAATCCTTTTTTAGTTCTGATAAATTATATTCTTTGGCTTGTTGGGGAGTAAGATTTCTTTCATTTTTTAGGTAGTTGGCAAAGTTGTATTCATCAGGTTTTAGACCAAGATCTATTCATTCTTGACATTCTTCTTTACCAAATCCTGCTTCTAATCAGTCTTTTCTTAATAATCTATTTTTAGAAATAAAATCCTTATGAATATCTATTCACAGTGCTTGCTCTAACTCGGCTTTTGCTAAGGCTAATTTACAGTTAGGTCTTAGGTCTGTTTTATAATAAAAGGTTTCTAAACTATCAGGTAAATATTCCCAACCGCTATCGATATCAGTATTGGAGATATCTAAGTCTTCTAACTTATTCAAATCCTTTAAAGGTTCTAGGCTTCCATGGAAATGATTAATTTTGTTTTTATCTCCATTACCAATTCACAAAAGTTCTAAATTACTAAACTGACTAAAAATAGTTAGGTCAGAGGGATTTATATTGTTATTGCTTATACATAAGTGAGTTATTTTTTCTGGATTAGGAATATAAGGTATCTGAGTAAGGTAATTATCAGAACACCAAAGTATCTCTAACTGTTCTAAATTACTAAGATTAAGAGTAGTAAGGCAATTATTATAGCATCTTAATTCCTCTAAATTCTTAAAATCAGAAAGGTCTAAGGTTCCTTCTAATCCTTGTTCACTTATATCTAACTTTTTTATTTCTTCCCTGGTTTTGCCAAAGTTATTTGTTTTTCAACTTTCTGTTTCCTTTATAACACAAGTTCCGTTTTTAGGACAATATTCTTCTAATCATGCTTGGGCATTTTCCATAATACTTATTTTATGCTTTTACAATCCAGCCAACTCTATCATAAATATTTATTTATCAGCGAAGACAGACAGGTAAATTCTGTCTCAGTCAACCCAAACCTAACAAGGTCATCAACTTTTCTGATTAGAGTTTTGTTCTGGTAATATTTTTACAAACTAATTATCTCTTGCTTTTCTTCATCACTCATTGCTAGTCGTTCATTTTCAGTAATTCTAATTCCAAAAATCCTTTCTAATCTATCTATGATATCTCTTTCTTCCTCAGTCAGAGTAGGCGGAGTAGGAGCAGGCTCAGGAGCAGGAATTATAATTGGGTTCCCAGAATGTAATCTTAAAACTTTAATACTTTCAACCTTTCAGTAAATTCGATTGCCTATCTGTTCTGCCCTTTTTTCCTTAGCCCTTGCCAAAGGAATAGTTTCGTAGGTTCTAAGAATAGCATCATAAAATAACACTTCTTCTTCCATGTTCCCAATAAACTTAATTCTTTCATTTAATAAGGTCTGTTTGAAATTATTAAATTGTTGTTCATTTAAACTCCAAAATAAGCATCTGTGAAAAGCAGCCCATCCACTAACAAGCCCCTGTCATATTCGCCTTTAAAGGCCACATAAGGACGGTTTTGAAAAATCATCAAAAGATTATTTTGACCATATTTTCTAATTTGTTCTTCAGAATAGATATCAAAATCAGCAGAATAAACATGTTCCCCTTGAAAAGTGCCAGAAGTTATAGTGTTGTATGTCGCTGGATATATGTCATATATTATAAGGGTCAATCTCAGTTATTGAGCTTGGTTGTTGTTAACCAAGTATAACCAAAATAAGAAATTGCTTATGAGGATTTAAAGTTGAAAAAGATGAGTAAAAAGAAACCCAATCAGAAGAGAAAGATTAACAAGTATACAGTGAAAAGTTTGCAGCAAGCAAGTTTGAGAATGTTAGGAGACTTCACCACTTACAAAGTGCAGGAAACTGGTAAGTGGATAGTTTTCGTTGACCCTAAAGATACTTCTCAAACTTGTAGTAAATGTCATCAGAAGTCGTTAATTAAACAAGAATTAAACGACCGAATATTTATTTGTGCTTTTTGTAAGAATGAGTTAGATAGAGATATAAATGCTGCTCATAATATTCTCTACAAAGCACAAACGGAGTTAGGAACTTTGTCCTCTGGGAGGATATAACTTCGTAAAATGGACTCATGACTAGTAATTTGCTAGTTAAACCATATGAAACTCCTACTTCAAACTCGTAAGAGTTAAGTTGAGGTAGTTCACATAATCCCTAATCCTATTTTTAAAACAGGACTGTGAAAGATGGCTATTCTTCTTAAAAAAATCTTATTATTATGACCGATTTACCAAAAGAAAAAGAACTCACAGAAAAAGAAACCAATCTCGTTTCTTTTGCTTTCACTCTCACTTGCCCTAAATGTCAGGCTACTTTAACTCCCTCTGACTTCGACAACAACCACTTCACAATCGCTCATTTACAATCTTACTTCACTAGCAAAGAATCCCTCTACAAAGAACAATTACTAGCCCAATTAACCTCCAACCCTTCCTCCTTCCCTGCTTACCAAACTTTACAAAAAGAAAACCAAGAACTAAAACTCCTCCTAGAAGGATACAAACTAGGCACCACTAAATCTAGTAAACAAAAAGGAGAAGACCTGGAAAAATATATCACCGAACGCTTACAAGAAACCTATAACGGCCAAGATGACATCTCTAAAATCACTCATGTAGGAACTAAGGCGGATATTAGCCAAATTATCCATGCTAATGGGCAAATCATAGGACAGATTATTTACGAAGTAAAAAATGAAGAAAAATGAGATAATAAATGATTAGAAAAATTAGAGAAAGATATGGTGGCAGAGCAAGCAGAATTTGGCATTCTAGTGGCCGTATGTAGGCAAGGCCAACCTTTATGAAAACCTTATGCTAGTAAAAATATTCTAGTGTGTGATACAGATAATTTTATTTTTGCTAGTCAGATGGCCAGGTTGTTGATTATGGCTAGGCAAAGGAGTAAAATTAGTGAGAGCCCGGAGGAGAGGGTGAAAAAGTGAGAAGAGTGGATGAAAGAGAAATTACCGAATTATTTACTGAGATTGGAGAAGTGCTTTACTGAGTGGGAGAAAGATATTGGTCGCATTGCTACTTCTCTAAAAAGTATGGAAAAAACGAGGGAGGAAATAAAAAGAACGATTATGGAGGAGATGGAGGGCGAACTTAAAAGTATGTAGATTTCGCTATATAAAAAAACATTTATTTTCTTTTTCTACCACAAGTACTCTAACTAACAATTTATTCTTGCTTTTATATTTTCTAACTCTTCATCAGTAATCAAATCTCTTTTCCTCATCTGCTCTAATGATTGAATATTGCTTAATCTTTCGACTGCTTCCAAAAACTCCTTAGTTTGTTGTGTTTTTGCCACCGCTCTCTTTACTTTTATCTTTTTCTGATGCTTCCACTTTTTTCTCATCACTTGTTTTTTTATAATCTTCTTCTTTTGGTAGATTTTATTTTTGGTCTCCGACGAAGTAACAGGTTTCATTAATTATTACAAAGAGCGAAATAATGTCAGTATAAATTAACTTTTAAACTCATTCGAAATTTATACCTTAATCCATTTTACTCCTTTTTCAGGTGGCTCATAAAAATAACAATGCCTAAATCATCCAGTCAAATCTTTCTCATGAAGAAGTTTTAAAACTTCCTTTATTGCCACCTCCAACTCCTCATAAGTTTCTGGTTGCTGTTTTCTTACCTCACTTTTAATAAAATTAAAACAACATTCAACTGGGTTCATTTCTGGGGTATAAGCAGGCAAATAAAGTGGTTCAATATTTTTGCTTGCTAACAGTTCCCTAATGGAACTTAAACCTAGTTTATGACAGCCCTATCTGAATGATGAATTCTGGCATTGTCTAAAATGAGATAACTCTTATCCTTGCTTGAAATCTTTTCGTGGGAAAGGAAGTTATGAAAAACTTTGGCATCCACTCCCCCTTTAACTATTTGATAAAGAACTACTCCATACTTTTCAACATTAGCCACACAAAGAATTAAAGTATAACTCAAACCTCTTTTTCCTGTCTTATAGAAATTGGCTCGAGTTCCTTTTTTGGAATAACCAAACCGAGCAGCCATGTTTAAAGGAAAACTACTTTTATCCAGTGCTAAAATAGGTAAGTCAAGCAAAGTATAAAGTCTTTCTTGAAACTCTTTTATTTTCTTTTTATTTTGTTCGGAAAAATGGGGAGAAAGCTTCTTATGAGTAAACTCGTGCTTTTTTAAAGTTCGGCCAATGATAAACCTAGTTATTTTCTGTTCTGTTAAATGGGAAGCATAATCCGCTAGTTCTTGTTGAGCATGTTTGTGTTCTCTATCAACATAATCAAGAAAAGTTTCCAATGCTTCACCATCTAATTTAAGTTTCCTTCCTACCTTTTGCTTATTGCTTTTAATCCGCCGATAAATAGTTCGTTCGCTTACTTCAAAGCGGTTCGCTATTTTCTTTATAGTCCAGCCTGACTCTCTTAAACTATTCATGTAATCGGATTTGTAGAGCAATAAGTTGTAGACAGAATTAGGGGCATAATTATTAGATTTGTTTCCCATGGTTTTTTTACTTTATAGGACTACGTCCTATATATTAATTTTAACTATAATGATTTGAGTTGGGAGTATTTACAATGTGCGATTAAAAACATGAAATTGTTTTAGTAAGAAATATTTAACTAAAACAATTGTCTATTTTGTTCTGGCATTAGTAGTAGTGCCTATGTTGTGGTTCTTTTCAGCCACTATTGTAAGTCTTTTTATAACTTCGGGAAATATTATGCAAATTATCCATGTTTTTCCTACCTCACAAGTAAGCAATTATTCCTACTGCTAAATTAATATCAATCATAAAACTATTATATAGATGTTAGAAGAAGTCTATATATAACAAATACTAATAAATAAAAAAACTGCCTATGGTCGAAAGAAAAAAAACAGATAAGGAAAATAATATCCAAAATCAACCACTATTCCTTGTTTGTAAATAGTTAATATGCTTTTAGTGGTTGCGGAACAGACAATAAATTACTAAAAATATAACTCAAAAAATATGGTGAAAGTAAAAAATATTCTCCTAATTGGGAGAACAGGCAATGGAAAATCAACATTAGCAAACGTGCTAACTGGCACAAATGATTTCACAGAGAGTGCTGACAGCACGAGCGAGACAAGAACTATTAAAACTAGAGAATTTGAAATTAGGTTAGATGAAGCAGGTAATGAAAATGCAAAATATTGTGTGATTGACACAGTTGGAGTAGGTGATACACAATTAGATACCAAGGCAGTTTTGCTTAGACTAGGAGAAATAGCTCATTTTATTGAAAGAGATGGTCTAAATCAAATCTTTTTTATAACTAGTGGCAGATTTACTAAGGAAGAAGTAGAAGCCTATAAACTATTAAGTTCAATCATTTTCGATCAACAAGTTTTTAATTATACGACAATTGTAAGAACTAGTTTTCCTGCCTTTGAGGACGATAATGCTTGTAATAGAGACCGAGAAAAACTTCGTAATGAAGGAGGAGAATTAAGTAGGATATTTAATCAAGCAGGAACTAAGATTATTTATGTTAATAATCCTCCTTTGCTCGGACGGGCTTCTGCTATTGCTGTAAATAAGGAAACACGCGAAGAATCAGGAAAAAGATTAATAGCTTACTTAGGAACTATTTCTCATAAAAATTACAAGCCAACTAACCTAGCAACTTTAAATGAAAGGATTAATAGTTATATGAGTGAAAAGGAAAAATTGGAAGAGGAATTAAAAGAGAAAGAAAAAATGATGAAAGAAGCTCAAGAAACTTATGATAAGAAAATAAACGAAATTCAAGCGGATTTGGACAAAAAGATAAAGGAAGCCGAAACCAAAAAGGATGAGGAAATTCGGCGATTAGAAAACAACCTAAATGCGGAAATAAAAAGGTTGGAAAGAGAGGGTAAAGCAAACGAAAAGGAAATTAGTAGACTAGAAAAAAAGAATGAGGAAGATAAGAAAAAATTAGAAGAAGATTTAAAAAAAGAAAAGAAAATTAATAAACAAAAAGCTGAAGAGCAAAAAACTTCTAGTAAGGATGAAAATGCCGAAAAGATAAAAAATTTGGAAAATCAGTTAACTAACTTACAAAACCAAAAAAAACTTTCAGAGGAGAAAATCGCCGAGGAAGTAGCTAAACAAATTCAAAAAAATACTCCACAAACTCCCCAAGCACAGATAGTTCAACAACAACCGCCAAGAAGTAATTTAGTATCAGGGACAGCTGTTGGTGCGTTAGCTGGGGCAGAAGTAGGGTCAATTGTTCCAGGAATAGGCACTGCCATTGGGGCTACGGTAGGAGCAGTAGTAGGATTTATAAGTAGTCTTTTTTAATTAAAAATGATACAGCAAAAAAAAAAAAAAGTGACAAAGAAACAGGTGCTTATCAAAGTATTAGGAATAGTCATTTGTGCTTTAGCAGTGTTTGGTTTTTTGCGATTAACAATTTGAGGAGATGAAAGTCATTCTTATAAAAGCAATAGTGATAGCAATCAAGACAAAGAACTTAAAAAAGAACTAAAAGATAAATTACGAAAATTAGAAGGGAAATTGAACAAAAAAAATGACCTTACTAAAACTGAGAAACAGAAATTAACTAGTGAAATAAAGGGTTTAGAACAACAACTAACTAATTTAGATAATCCCTCAAATCCTAATGATAAACCAGTTAATCCGGAAGATCCAAACAAAACCCCTCTTCAAACTCCTCCGCCTACCCCAACAATTACTGAAGAAGAAGCCAAAAAAAAACTCCTTGAAGAATTTTCAAAACTTTTCAAGGAAACTCCTGAGACACTAGAAAGTAATTTATTACATTTTGCACACCGAGTTGATTATGGAGAAGAAAAAAAATTGTCTCCTAAAGAATTAGCCAATAAATTAAAAATGGAAATAGAAAAAAATAAAAAAGACCTTTATTCTTCTCTCCCCAAAACTTCTGCAGAAATCCAGCAAGGGATAGAAATTTCTAATTATAGGAATTCACTAATCTTTACCGTTTTCTTTTTACCTCGTAATGATGGTGGTGGTATCAATTGAAAAAAAGCATGGGAGAAAAGAGAGGAAATAAAAGAAAAAGAAATAGATAATTCAGACAATGAAAAAATAGAAAGCGATTTAGAAGAAATAAAAAAAATAATAGAAGAAGAATACAATATTGAATTAAAGAATGAAGTGACAAAGTTTTCTAATATCAATGATCTTTCTGAATTTAACCAATGAATGAATAGTTATTTAAATAAGATTACTCTTGGTAATTATTTATTAGAAATTAGAAATAAAATGGTGCCAAAAATAGGAAAAAATTTTAGCCATAGTTTAGTAAGACACCAAGTATCTAACAATCCAAATTTGGGAATTAATATGGAAATTAATATATTCTCAGTTGTCTAATTCAGAGAAATAAGCAAGTGATAAAATTAATTAAAAAAATACATAAATAATAAGTAATAATAAAGGTATGTTAAAAAGCCTTAATATAAAAAGAGTATGAAAAAGCAAGAATTTATTAGTCATTTAAAAACGCTACTTGAATCGTGTTCAGTTAGTTTTGACTTTCCAAAAGGAAGGGGCATAGTTGTCAAAGAAAAAAAACATGAAGAAGAAGGAACAGATAATAGGTTATACTTTTTTGAAGAGTCATATTACCACCGCTGAATAATTATTAAACGGGAAGAATGAGAAAAAAAAGAAAGAAAAGAGGTATGCAATGTTCGCTCGTTAATAGATTTTCTTGAATGAGTTCCATTTACTGATCAATATCCTAAAGAATTCGAAATAATATCTAAGTCACAACAATTTTCTGAAGATGAAGGGTTACTAGCTTGATATGATAACTACGATGACTATTGCAATGGAAAACGGGATAATTTCTTGCCTCTAACTGTTGGACAACTTGAAAGTTTACAAAACCATTATGAAAATTTGGAAAAAGCTAAAGAAAACTATAAAAAGGAAAAGGCTTTACGAAAGGGAAGATTAATCAAGGAGGAAAACTTATGGATTGTTGAAGAAAAATTGGAAACTTTAGAAAATAGTATACAAAGAGACAAAGGAGAGATGGTTTTTTTGGGTTGGCGATTAAAGCAAGTCGACTTGGGAGAAATTCCAACTAGATTTGTAAGAGCGTTGCGAAAAGAAATTAAAGAGAAAAAAAAACAACGCCAGTATCTAATTGATAGATGAGAAAAAAAGGTAAGTTCTGAGGAAGAAAAGATGGAAGTAATAGTCGAGACTTTAAACCAAGAAAAAGAGAGCAAAATTAAGAGCATACTTCTCATAGGTAGCACAGGCAACGGTAAATCTACTCTTGCCAATGTGCTTTTAAATAAAAACAACAATTTTGAAGAAGTATTTAAAGAAAGTGCCGACAGCGTTAGTGAAACAAGAAACATACAAGTTGAGAAAACAGAGATAAACCTTGATAACGATGGAAATGAAAAAATAGAACTTACAATAATTGACACTGTTGGCATTGGTGACACAAAATTAACAACTCAAGGTGTTCTTTATCGGTTAGCTGAGGCATCTATTCATATTAAAAAAGGTTTGGCACAGGTGTTCTTTGTCACTAGTGGTCGTTTCACAGAAAAAGAGGAAGAAGCTTACAGATTACTAAGCTCAGTTATATTTGATGATGAAATAGTCAATTACACCACGATTGTGCGAACTAACTTTCCAGAATTTGAAAGTGAAGAAGCTTGTAAGAGAGATAGAAAAAAACTGCGAAATGAAAACATTACACTTGCTAATATTGCTAAGTCAGTAAAGATCATTCATGTTGATAATCCACCAATGGCTGGTCGTGCTAGTGCTATAGCACTTGCTAAGGAAATTAGGGAAGTATCTCATAAGATTTTAATAACCCATTTAGGAACTCTCCAGGATATTTATAAACCACGAAATCTAAGGAAATTAAATGATCGTATTAAAAACTACGTGACCGAGAAAGAACGATTAGAAAAAGAAATTGCTGAGAAAGAAAGATTAATAAAGGAACAAGAACAAAGAATGAATAAAAAAATTGAAGAAACAAAAGAAAGTAGTAACAGACAAATTCGTGATTTAGAACAAAGGAAAGAACAACAAATTAGAGAAATTAGACAAAATAGTGAGAGGCAAATAGACAGTTTAAGAGATCAAAACCGTTCAGCTAGTTACACAATAGATCAACTAAGAAGACAAGCAAATGAAAACGATGAAGTTTCTTCAGCTTTATCAGCTTTTTATGGTTTGTCTGAGGTGCAAGGAACAGACTTTTCCTCTAAAAGCCTAGCAGGTCGGGTTTATTATCTAAAAGGCGAGTTTGAGAGGGTAGTGAGAGAAAAGAGAGATATAGAAAGGAATAGAGATTATTGACGAGATGAGGAGGGAAAAGAAAGGCGACGAGCCCAAGAAGCAGAAAGCAGTCGTGATTGATGAAAAAATGAAGAGTATAAAGAAAGACAAAGAGCGAGAGAAGCTGAAGAAAAAGTAGAAAGATTAGAAGCGAGAATTGAGCAGTTAGGACCAATAGGAATAATGGGAAGGGTTTTTTTTCCTTTTTAAAATAACAAAGATTAAAAATCATTTTTGAAAAAATTATCTTATGAACACTCTCCAAGGTAAAAATATTCAAATCTACCAAATCACAAGCAAAAAGTCTAGTTCTTATCACTCTATAGAATTTTCTTTGCATAAACCTGTTCCTTATTCACAAAGTAGTGAAAATAAAGTTATCTTAGAATTAGTCCTCTTTTAGCAATTATAAAGTGGATGTAGATAGAACTCGTTTTAGACCTCCTACTGTGCAAGGGAAAATCTGAACTGATAGTGCAGTGGTGGCTAAGGTGGTGAAGCATGGTAATGCAGTTCCTTCCCATCACAAAAATGTTTGCAGTAGTGAAGAGCTTGGTGATGGATGAGTAGAGGGAGGGTAAAATTACAATATAGATATCAACAAGAATTTTAAGCGGGGTGATTATCTTACTGTGTGGGTTTTTGTTGGAAAATGTCTCGTATGATTATGAGTAAAGTTCCATATGAGGAAAGAACAAAGAAAAATTGCCTAGATTACAATTACTTTAACAATTTGGCTATAAGAAAAGGGCTTCATATAGTTAGAACTTGCGAATGCTACTAAATAAATAGGAAGGATAAAAATCACTAAAATAATTTCATAAGAGTGTGTTTTATACTGACATTATTTCGCTCTTTGTAATATTTTGAAGGAAACTCCACTTGTGTCTGCTGCTCGGGAGTGGCCAATTGCCGCTCTATCTGAACTATTTCTGTGCGGTAGTTAGCAATTACTTCCTCTATACGCTTATTATTATCTACGTAACTATTATAATCATCAATAGTAGCAAATATTCCTTTTTTTAATAAGTAAACACCAACCGCGAGATTGCTTTTAATTATTCCCTCTAAAATAACAATTTGATTCTCTAAAAGTTGTCGTCGCAAGATTAGATGCTGGCGGATTAATTCTTTATTTTGTGCTTTTAGAGATGCTACTTCTTCTTCTAATTCTTGCTGTTTTTGAATTAATTTATTTAACATATTAATTATGATATTTTAAAATTTGAATCCCTTATTTCTCGCACCACCCTTTTTCTAGTTCCCGGAGTTATCGGGCTTATAGGTGTGGAAGGGCTAAGCGGAAACCCAAATTCATCAACTTCTATTGTTTCATCTACTGTCTTTATCTTTTTTCTCCGGGATCTGGTATGCCGGCGTAGGAAACAACCAAAAGCCGTTAGGCAACAAAAAAACAAGGCTAATAGCGTTGAACCAATAACAATTTTGTTAGTAGTAGAGAGATTCTCGATACTGTTAACAATCTGATCACCAATTTGGGGATAATAATAGGTAGTAACTTCAGGTGTAAAAGTAACTGTAACTGTTTCGAATGCCGTTGGGTAGGGGATTATCTGCTGATTAGGACTAGTAGTAGTTGAAGAACAGTCAGAAGTAGATAATAAAGTTGGAGTTGGCGTGGGAAATAAACTACTTGTTAAATCGCTAGAACTAGCACTAGTAGTAGCGGTGTAATTTTCAGTTTTAGGAATATTAAATGAAGTTGATTTATTAATTACTGTCATATATTATTATTTTATATACTTACAACTATTATTATGTTTATAGGTATTATTAATATTTAATTATTTATGGGAGACTATTGCTCTCTCTCTCTCTCTCTCTCTGCTCGATTAATGTCTAATTTTCTAACAAAAAGTGGCTCCAATTGCCCCTTAATAGTTCCATTATAGATATAGACGCGAAATAAACTTTGCTTCTTTCTATTCGGTATCATCCGTTTAAATTCCCACTTGTAATTATGATAGAGGCGAAATAAACACTGGTCGCAAGTGTAATATCCATAATCTTCTTTGGCTTCAGTCCAATATCCTAAATGATTTTTTTGGCTGTAAGAGTTGATGGCTCGTACATATTTAACTTCTAGCGGAGTTTGGCAATTTAGACAATTGGCAGTTAAGGATTCTTTTAGTTTTGTGTTCATTGTCATTATTAATAATATATTATATAAGTTTATTTTTAGTAGCCTAGTGTTTATGCATCGTTTTCTCCTTTCTCTTTTTTTAGATAATTAGAGATAAAATCGTCCAAGGAGGAAATTCTCCTGCGATGGTTGGGAAAGTTTTTTTTAGGAGCCGGTTTTTCCTCTGGGGTGAGTTTATCTTCCTCTTTCTTGGTTGGTGCAGGAGGATTAGCCACAGCAGGCTGACTAGTTGCGGAAAAATCTTCTTCTTTTTTAATTTCACTAGGCCATGAAAAATATTTTTTTCCTTGTCTACCCCGAGCATTTTTTTCGGCCAATTCTGCTAATTCCCCTTCGGCTTGTTTTTTGGCTCTCTCAGCTTCCTTCTCGGCGGCAATTTTTTCCCATGTAGGCCGAAAATAACTAGTATCTTTTAGCCAATAACTATCATAAAGTTCATAATATTAAATTCTTTTTCTAAATCTCAATTCTGACTGTAAAACTGAACTCTTTGGGTGTAAAAAGTAAACCGGCCAAGACTCATTAAGTATTTTAATCCGCCTAATTTCACATAATAATTAGCCATTTGTCGAACTTGAACCCAAACATGATTATCCCGTGTAGCACTCATTCACACACGCATTTGGTGATGACGGCATATTTGTAATAATCAGGCTACCCCTTTGTGATATATTTTGTTTTCTATGTGATTAACCCCTTCGACAGTAAAATTTAATTCATCAATAAAATAATATTTTGGTATCCGGTAATTTTCCATCTCGGATATTGGCTCCTCAAAATTAATATCATTATAACTTAATAATTGGGCGTCAGGAACATTAGAAACAAAACCCATTTTTTTAATACCATAGGGCAGATGGCGGGCGAGAATACTTAATTTTGAGATTCACGCAAAAAGTAATAAATCGCTGCTGCTACTATCACAGCAATTACCCCAATCCCCCCTCACATTAAGGGATTATTTATTCTAAAAAACTTTTCTTCAGGCTTCTGATTATTCTCTGTCCCACCTTCTCAACTCTTAATCTCCGCCTCAGTTTTCTGACTATATTCCCCTACGGCTAATTTATACAAACCCGTAGTAATTTGCTCCTCGGATAAAATATCAGACTTACTTTTGCCCATATTCATCTTAATTATTTTGTCTACCTTATCCTGATTATCAGCCGTATCCGAGTCATATTCTCATTTAATTAAAGTAATGATTTCTTTAGCCTTCTTTTTCTTAAAAAGTTTAGCCAAATCAGTTAATTCAGCATCTTTTTTAGTCATAACTTCTTTAAATTTGTCATCCAATTTGCCATTGGGTAAAACTTTTTTGATTAAACTTTCCATGGTGGTAGCCGTTTTAAAATTATTTTGCGTTTTTCAATCATCAATTAGGGATTGAGTAATTACTGTCTCGTCCAATGAAGGATCTAGAGTTTTTAATTTACTTTGATAAGTTGTTAAAGTATCGGTCGGATTCTCTTTTTGCCCCAAGGCAATTTTAATCGCCCCTAAAGCCTGTTTTTCCGTCTCCGTAAACTTAATTAATTTTTCTCATTTTTCATAATCATCATGATAGGATTGTAAATCATTAGTAGTTTCTTTAATTTTTTTACATTTATCGGCATTAGTTGTCCCTTCAACTGTAATAAACTTAAATATTTTGGATTGTTGAAAATCTTTTAGCAACTCTTCTAATTTACTATAAGCAACATTTTCATCATCATTGAAACTGCTGATTGCAGTATCAGCATTTTCTAAATAACGAATCTCTTCTAACTTCTCTTTAATAGTCATTAATTCGCTACTTGTTCTTCGATTGTCTTTTTCCCCGGTTCCATCAGCCTTTTTAACTAATTCAAAACCATCAGTGATTTTGTAAGTGGTTAGGGAGGTTCTTCGAGAGGTTAATTCATTGGTGATTAGGTTTTGAATAGCGGTTTCTGTTTCAGTCAATTTCCTCTTTTCCTCCTTTAAGTTATCTTCTCATTTAATTAATCTTAAATTAGATTGATTTTTAGTGGCTTTTTGCTTGCTCAAAATATCTTCAAACTCTTGGATGCTTCTATCCATGGCATCTAGGCCGTAATCAGTAGTTCCCCCCACTGTGGTTCTAAAAGTATTTACTCCATTAGGATTATTTGGAGTTCTTCAATCAGAGTTACTGGCTATATTACTTGCCAACATATCGTCAAACAAAATTCAGTTGGGGGAATCAGTTATAGAAGCAAACAACTTTTCCTTATTTTCATCCTTTGAAATAGTATTGGCTAAATTAATTCAACCTTTAACGCCCCCATTTACTGTGAAATTGACTGAACTAACTCCAGTTTTATAAAGAGTTGTGTTGTCTTTATCAATTTCAATTCCATAATCGTCTTTCAACTTAATTGGGTCCCAGGCTTCACCTTTTAAAAAAATCTGATAATTTTCTGTTTGAGGCACATCTTTCTGTTTAACAGCATCTAGCTTATCCAAAAATTCCTCTTTGGCTTTTACTTCCTTAATAAAATTGAAGAAGTCAAAAGCGGTGTCATCAGCAATTCTGAAATGGTTGTCAGCATAAACCGTGTTATTATTATAGGCTTGGGGATAGGTTCTAGCAAAATCATAACTTTTCTTTCCCACCTTATCACTACCAACTTTAATTAAACCAGCCTCGGCTTTTAAATAACCCACAAAATTATCAATATTAGTTTGAATAGTTCCATTGCTTTGGACTTTATCGAACTCAGTTTTGAAATCTGCTTTATCAATTTTCTCCAAGGCCTTAACTACTC